TCAAGTGACCCCACCTCCATAATCACTTCCAATTGTTTTCCTACATTAAAGGCCCTTGTAAGTGAAGTATCTTCCCAGTGCTGATCAGATTTTAAGCCTCTGACGAGGGAGGGTCAGTTCCAGGCCACCTGATTTGCGTGAATCCAGCCACAGGGCCAATTGAGCAAGGTTAAATAACTTGCAGAGCCAGGACATGTGCTATCTTTCTGGAAACCTCTTGCCCTAGGTTATCAAAGTACATCAGAACAGAGGAAGCTGAGTGTGAAGCCCTAGTGACATTCAGAGTTTAGATGAGTGATAAGATGCTCACAACATACCTCTGCCAGTGTCATCCAAAGAGATGGGCCTTTGAGCTCTCCAAGCCCTCCCTAAGGCCCCCATTGACTTAGCACAATAACAGGATATTTGACTTAAGAGACATAATGAGCCTGGATAAGGCAATTAGGAGTAGTGGTTAAGATTTAACCAGCCATGTGACCTTGAAGGAGTGACTTAACTCTTAAAGCCTCAGCCTGTCAATAGGAATGACATTATCTATCTCACAGGGTTGCTATGAAGATCAAAAAAGATGTAAGATATGAAACTCAAACAGTATGTAAGCCCCTGATAAAAAGGCTTTCACAGTGCCTAGTGTATAGTACTTTTAAAAACATTGTCTTTGGCATCATTAACTTTCAAGGCCTTGCTGCTGTTACTCTTACAGTGGCATGATATTTGTAAGGACTCCTGGAGATACATCTCAATCTTACTCAGTTTTCATTGGAAATGCTTCTATGGTCATTTGCACTCATGGCCCGTAGTTGGGACCTGAGTTAACCTGTTGAGGAGGCAAGTATATTGTACTTTTTATGCTGCTTTAATTGGTTTAGTGTCATGGAGTTCTTTAAATACTTGCTACTCCCAAATGCAGCTCTGACCACTGAAAACATCCTGTGTCTTCCTTTAGACCCGGGAATCTCCTCCAGTTTATCTAAAAAAAGAGTGCCTAACCAATTAGCAATTCCTAATTATTCACATGTAGCTTTTTCTTGGCAAACTTTAAAGCTTAGCCTCTCATTATCCTATCCCTTAGCAGACATTGTAAGCAACTTGCTTCTCGAGTTTGCTTGTAAAAGGTAAATCTGATAACTTAAGCAAGATAGGATTGATAATTTAATGCACTGCTATAACAAGTATATAAGATGGCTCAAAGTTTAGTGAAATGACCTATTAGTGATTTAATCACTCTTTAAGCATCCTCTGGGTCTCACGTTTTGCATTCAGTCAGGCATGCTGGTATAAATTAGAAATACATCTAACCCTTTTAAAATATATACTAAGGGTGATAAGAAAAGCACACAAATATTATATCATGATAGAATGTGCCCAATTCAAAGAGTGAAGTAAAGTATTATGGAAGTTTAGAGGAGGAAGACATTATTTCTCTAACAGTAAGTTCACATTCAGCACGTGGACTGTGGCATTGCAGGCAGGGTAGGTCTTGGACATGTGGATGTAGGAGCATTCCAGACAAAGAGGGGAATAGGGGTGATTAAATTGGAGCAAAGGCTATGTGAAGTGGAGTGAAAAGAAGTACAAAAGGCAGGTTGAGCACAGGGTGAAGGCCCTTGAATGTCCATCTTAGGAACTTAAAATTCTTTGAAGTCATTTGGGAGCCATTGAAAGTTTTTGAGCATATTGGTTTTAAGTAGCACAGTAGTGTGCTTATGCATGCTTGAAAACATCTTCAATTGGGGGAATTATCCATGGTCATCAGGGAGGAAAATAGAGGATGGTCTTCAGTATGGAGAAGCTAACAGCAGCAAGAACACCAGGTAGAAATCTGACCTGGTCATTCTTAGGTAGAAACTAATGTGGGTCCAAGATTGGAGTAGGAGGGATGGAAGGTAGGAGGTGGATGTAAGTGAAATAAATCAGATAAATCAATAGGACTTCACAGGAGGTCACAGTGAACCATTCAGTGATAGACCTTAGAGAGATGAGGCCAGAGAGAGGGAGGCAAATGATGAAGTGCCCAGAATACATTTTACGGGAGTAGACATTTTATCCTCAGGCATAGAGCATTACTGAGGATTTTAAATAGGGGAATGGGACAGATCAAATGTGAGCATTATTGAAGTAAAAAGCATAGGAGAAAAAGAAACATAAAACTTAAACTGAAGTTTCAAACAGGTAATTGGAAGACTGAAGAAAAGAACAGAAAAGGAAGAGTACATTTATATTGGAAGATATGAGCTTGCTTTGAAGATATTGAAATGATAGTCTAAAATTCATATGTCCAACTTGCAGTTCTTGTGGTTGAAAATGGAGAACAGGTGCTGGGACAAGTCAGAGGTCGAAACAGATTCTTAGAAATCACCTACACAGGACTTGTCAACAGTGAGATTATGCTGTATGGAGCAGACATTGCTAGCTTGATGAGAACAAGACTATCTGGCTCACAAGTATGTTTGTGTGTTCTTAAAAACTCAAAAATTTTAAGATTAAGCTAACATTTTAAAAATCAGGAAATTTTACATAAARTATTGTTTTCTGGCTTCTCTTTTAAAAACATCAAAAGGTGTGGTTAATTATGAACTGCATTGCTACATGACAACAGAGGCTGCCCCTGGAGATCCTGGATGCATTCTCACCACAGTCCCCATTCCCATTCACCTCCCTGATATTCCAAGATTAAAAGTCCCTTGATGTCTATAGARATAAAAAGTAGATTAATGGTTGCCTGGAGCTGGGGACAAAGGATGGGGTGCCCAGGACAGTGGTTAAAGTGTGTGGGATTTCTTTTGGAGCTGATGAAATGTTCTGAAGTTGATTGTGGTGATTGTCGAATGATACTTTGAGTACAGTAAAAGCCAATGAACTGTACATTTCACATGGGTGAATTTTATGATGTGTGAATTATCTCACACATATAAAGCTACTTTTTAAAATGCAAATATAGTTGCTATTGCCCGTGAAGTGTTGATTTTCCTATAGCAGAAAAAAATTGTCTTTATCAAGAAGTAGAAAATGAAAGGTAGACTGTATATTTCAAAAAGAATAGAAGGGAGTACCTCTCTTCATGGTAATACAGACCTTTACATATTAATTGATCAACACCTGGGCTCCTTACTAATGTACATATATTACCTTTACCTTCTTAGCCACTGAAGGCATTTGGTATTAGGGGAAAAAATCTGGTCTCCCGAGCTTCCTGAGGTCCACCACAGCTAAGAAGAGAGGGAGAAAAAGACAGGGCAGGAAAAGAAGTAATCAACATGTAAAAGGAGAAGCAGAGAAGGCTGGTAGAGTGGATGCTCTATCAGCTGCTGACAAGAGGTCAAGGAGGATGGGACAAAGAAGTCAGGAGGTCACGGCGAACCATTCAGTGATAGACCTTAGAGAGGGAGGCAAATGATGAAGTGCCCAGAATGCATTGTTCAGGAGTAGACATTTTATCCTCAGGCATAGAGCATTACTGAGGATTTTAAATAGGGRAATGGGGCAGATCAAATGTGAACATTATTTGTGTTCACATTAATTTGTGCATGTTTTGAATAGTGTCCATGGTGATTCAAAGCTACCCCTTATTCTTTCCTATAGTAAATTCTCCTTCAAGGTAAAATCTCCATTTGTTGAGAAATGTTATTGATTTCCATCTTAATTATACCTGGACCTGCTTGAACTAGGAAAGATATATGTGACTGGTATTATCTAACCCAGGGGTTCTCAACCTAGTATTGTTGTATTTGGGGCTGGATAATTCTTTGTCATGGGACTGCCCAGGATGTTTAATGGCTTCAACAGTCTCTACTTTCTAGATGCCCCTAGCACTCTCAATTAGACATTTCCAACAAAGTTGCCTCCAGCTAATAGCCACTGAGTGGCATTTATCCACTGTAGCATTTGGACCCAGACAATTAAGGCCATGTGCAATTGACAGACTACCCTGAAGGATATCTTGCTTGGAAAAAGGACCAATTCCTATTCCATACTGAGGGTACATATCAGATGATGCAAGCAGGGGATAAAAATGAGACACTAAGGCCTAATTTTATTTTAGATATTTCAGTGGACTTCAGTCTCTCTGCCTTAGTCTCCTTGCTGAAAAGAAATGCTATCTGGAAGATATGAGGCAGGAGAATGTGTAACATCCATGGCCCCAGGCCAGGATTCCTGCCACGGCCCAAGGGCCAAGAGGGCAAGAGAGTTCAGAGGAGACCTCAGGATGCACCAGACATGATAGTGGAGGTGGCTTCTCGTGGTGGGACTTGGAGAATTTCCCTTGTGGAAGAAGATGGGAAAGGAGTGGAAATGGTTTTCTTCTTGTCATGTCAAGAGTAATCAGTGAAACTAGAGATGGAAGAGAGTCATTTAGTGCAAGTTGGAGTAGWCGTGGAACTCAGATGAAGTTTACTTCAGATCCTCTCCCTAAAAGGAAAGTCTTAGAAGTTAAAAACATGTTTCTCTTGGAATAGGGCTGTCTAAAATAGACTAGAAGTGAAATGTCAAGATCTTCCAGATTCCCCTTCTGGGTGTGTATATGTGTACAGTGGGTAGGAGGGCAAAGGAATTCTATGTGTATATGCTGCCATTTTTTTTCTATTTGATAAGAAAAATTAAGTCAAGATTTTTATCAAGCTAAAAAAACTCTAACTTTATTAAATTAAACTATTTCATACTGGCTCTTAATGCTTTTCTGCCATGAATGTTGGGGAGCTTGATTGATTATTAGCAATGGCTCCAAGCTTCTTTGCAGTGCAACCTCATTGGCATATAACTGCTATTGTTTGGCCCAGTGGTGGTCACTTTCACAGAGGCTGAAGGAAACACATGCTGTTTTTTATTTTCAGTCTGAAGCTTCTTAACCCTGTCCTCCTGTTCTAATTTATTGACTTCTGTGGTGATGAACCAAGCCTCTGAGTACTGTCTAAGCAACAAGTACTAATTGGACATTTTTTATGTAAAATACTATTTGAAGAAAGGGGATTCATAAGCATGGTTTTGCCATCTCATTTCAGGCCTTTCTGAATCCAGCTGTGTAATTGCCGCCCTAGGAAACACTTGGAGTCACAGTGTGAACACCAGGCTGATTCTCCGGTCTCTTGATTCAGAGAGAAGACAGGTGAGTTCTTTGTCAGTGTTCTCTTCATTGTCAAGGTTAGAAAACAAGATGTACTGAGAAATCAGAGCATCTTCTGAAAGTGATGGCTACTTTGTCCATCCTGGGTCAACACTGGCAAGAGTGCATTGAGAAACCTTGCTTACTCATTGGTAGTTAYAGTGAAGTGAGGGCAATAGTCACATACTGGAAAACAATGTAAGAATAAATCACAGGAAGTTAGAATGTCCCCAGATATTTGCAATAACCAAGAACCACACCTCTAGATAATTTGTCTGTAAATTAAATATTGACTGTGCTTTTAGTGAGATTATCATATATGTGAGATGTGTGTGTGTGTGTATGTGTGTGTGTGTGTGTGTGTGTGTGTGTGTGTATATATATATATATATATATATATAGAGAGAGAGAGAGAGAGAGAGAGAGAACTTTAGCCCAAATAGATCCTGCTAAGTGAATGAATTTTTCCCCAGATCCTGGTACTTTTACATTACTACATAAGCCTGTAGTGTAAAGTACTGAATGGTGCCAGAGAGACCTTGAAAAGGATAATGACTTCCTCAGAGCTCCCTATTTACAGTTTCTATCCTGGCCCCAAGTGAGAATCCCCCACTTCCATCCAGAAAGCTATACTGTCTACCACTTTTTCTATCGTCTCTCGTACTCCAGAGAAAGGAATACCATAGCCTGATGTTTTTCATAATCAGGAAATTCTTTTTCTAATGTWTTACCTTGACTTTATCCTGCTATGTCACCAGATTTAATCACAATCTCTTCTGTATGCAGAAAGAAAAAGGTTGTTTTGAATAGGGCAGAATTCAGAAGCCAGATTTGCCCAACTTCCTAAGTATATGGCAAATTCAGGTTATTAATTAAAGAGTATGAACTATCACACTGGTGGTCCTTTCTGGACATGGGAGGTAGGGTGTTGTTGCCTTTACCTGCATTAGGTAAATTGGCTCTTTTTCAAGGAGACAGGAATTATGAAAAACAGACATGAGTCTTTGCCTGTTCCAGACATAACTTTATGAATGCCCTGGTTACAGAACAGAGGATTCTAGGTCTTCTTGGGATTGTGTAAATAACATTCCAGCTTGGTGACTAGGTCAGCCTTGTTCTGAGAAGATAGATGGACTTCTTTCTGTTCAGGAAGCATTCTTATGTTCTCAGGCCCTGGCATGCTCATTACCTCAATGATACCTTTCCCCCAGTGATTCTGGTATCCTGGGCTCCATCACTTCTCTTCCTGGTGGAACATACCCAAAAATATTCCTGGAGAACCTAATGACCTTTGGTTTGTACCCTAGGTAGTAAATCATGATACGTAAACTTTGTTTGCAGCTATCAGAGATATCACTAAGGACTGTCAAGTATTTCTATCTAAATTGCATTAGAGGAAGCAAAATTCCTTGTGAATCAGTGTTGATTCATTCATTTTCATGAATCTTTTACCCACTTCTTAAACGCCTATAGTTTATGCCTGTGGGTTTGTTTGTTTATTTTTTCCTCCAAATCTGTTTTAGATTTTGTTGGGCATTCTTTCTGTAATACACCCTGAATTTATGATTTGGTCTCTTATATACAGTATCATGAATTTGAGGCTCCTAGATCCTAGTTTTACTAATTCCAGTTAGAATTTTCAAGTAGATAAAGAAGTTAGAGCCACATTTGTTTCCTTGTATAACTAAAAAATCCAGTCCTTTACATTTTGTCAGTGTCAACAGGAAGTGGCTGGGAGGACAAATGCTATTATTTTGCATTTCTTTGGTAACTGGAGGATTTTGGTGGCTCTTTGCTCTTGGTTGATAAGATCAAATGCAGGCCACTGGTCACAAGAAGAACTAGGGGCAAAGTGTGGCTGGATCAGTGACAGTCATCAACTCATATCCTATTAGACGGGTCAGTGATGTTATCTTAATCTATGAAGGACAACTTTTACTATCATTACTAATCAATCAGGGGCAGACTTAAATGCCTTTGAATCATATTTTCAAACAATAATTAACAATTAATGTTAAATATCACCAGTGTAAAAATGACAAACCAAGCAAAAGAACATACATTTAACTACACTATAGAAATAAGCATGCTTTGGGGAATGAGTTGTTCAATTTGTGACCCAATAACTAGAATAAAATTTGATGTAAAAAACATGTCTCTGCCTGATGACCTTATCTTGCCTCAGCAGAGGGCAGGCTTAGTGATTCCGTGAGGCTTTCCTGTGGTCTTACTTCATGACCAAGTACTGAAGCCATGTGAAGATAAGCCTTTTCAGTGATATGTGCACAAATAATACTTTAAAGCCAGGCTTTCAGGTAATAACACCAAATAATATTTTCTTATGATTCTACTTCCTTGAAAAGTGTGCCTGGTCATTGTAGAACAGTCATACCTGTGGGACACCAGCAACTTGGAGAAGATATCAAATATACTTTTCTGTTTCTTGGAGTTTTTTTAGTCCACAAGCAGAAGTTGCTACACCAAGAGATCAAGGTTATGGAATAAGGATTATGTTTCATCCCGTTTCTATGACATTGAGCTCTACACCAGGGCTCTTCAATGTGAGGCTTAGTCTGGGATCACAGGGCCTGGAAGGAGGTCAGGTCAAGCTGAACAATCTTCAATCTGATTAACCCAAGAGCTGAATTGAATAGTCCAAGGGAAGGAGTCCTCCCTGGCTGATTTTTTTCTTTATACCCTGGAAACTGTGTAAAATTATATAACTAAGAAAGAAGTCTCCTTATCAGGTCACAAGCCAAGTTAATTCTCTTGTTTATCTGCTTCAGTATTTGGAAAAACCCCCTTGAGAAACTGGGAAGCATTTTCTTTTGGATTAATTTAGCCTTTTTTCCCATTGGACTTTCATTTACCATTTTCCTACTCTGCTTCAATCCTGCCTCACCCTTTTTGCAACATTTTTATTCTTATCAAAGACATGTCCTTAGAGTAGCATTAAAGTGGCCTCTACTAGTTTTGTTGTTGTTGTTGCAATTGTTTTAAATCATCAAAAATATATCTGGATCTATGATGTGCATGGCATGGGGATGCCAGGAAGGAGAAGACACAGTTCTGGCCCTCAAGTTGCTTCCAGCGTAGGGACGAAGATGATACATATATACAGACTCATGAACAACCAAATACAGTACAGGAGTTAAAGAACTTAAGGAATACTGAAATAGAGTCACAAGGCAGCATTTTATTTTTTTATCTAATGAATGGTTAAAAAAAGTACATACTTTGAATCCTAAGGAAGGTGAAACTATCAAAGACACCTTGAGTCTTTCTAGAAGGTGGGACCTGAGTATCACCTTAAACCAAGGGAATCTCAAACCCCACTGCATTTCAGACTCATCACAGAAGCATTTATAAAATACTAATACCTGGGCCCCACCCTGACCAATGAAATTTAAATTTCTGCCAGGGATGGGGTAGGAGCCCATGCATCAATGTTCATTTTATTTATAAGGCTAGCCTAAGTGATTGCAATGTGCAGCCAAGGTTGAGAACCCCTGCCTTAAATAATAGATGCCCGTAGTTCATCAGAAAGGGGACATGCTGGGCAGATGAATAGCCAAAAGAAAATTAGGAAAGTAACACATCCTCAGGTGGCACAGGCTGGRTTTTACCTTGTAATCAGAGCAAAGGGTTCGAGCACTCATTCACTTGATAAAACTTTATTTAATCCTTTCTTGTCTGCTAGTTCTTGTATAAGATGCTAGAGAATCAAAGGACAAAGAAAGGTAATTGATAACCTCTGGCTGTTCACAATCTACTTGGGGAAACATAAGCATGTGAACAGTATATGCTCTAAGAGTATCAAGAATTAAGCATAGAGGAGGTATAGGGCCCTACTATTAAAGAAGGTTCTGGAGTGTTGAAAGAGGCAGCAGCATGGAAAGTGGATTAGCCAAGGCTTGCATTTGGGAAGCTCTCATTGAGCTAGGTACCTTGTGATGAGGGAGGGACTGGGAAAAGCTTATACTTGAAAGAATGATGCAAAACCCTGATGAAATATTCATAATATTTCTCATCAAAATTTCATAAAGTCTGTTCCTACAAACCATATAAGGGATTATATAAATTTTGAAGTACCCTAGAAGGAATAATGAAATAAATTAATCCTGACTAAGCCTCACACCCTCTTGATGAAATAAATATTATAACTCTCCTATTTCAACAAATTGGAAAGAGTTGACTTTTTCATATAGGAGGTTTATTTAAGTGGGTTTTATAATAATATTTTCATCTTCTATTTAGAAGGCACCCTGAAGCTAAAGAACGCTTGGGGAAAATCTGAGCTGTTGAAAGAAGTAGATACACCAGTAAATTACTGATAGGACCAACATTCTTCCTCCATCTCCTTATCCTTACTTGTATCCATGGGCTTTTGTTAAACTCTCAGGTTATTTTGCATCTTGGAAATATTCAGTTTTTATTTTCTGGTGCTTTGATCCTCTTGGTGTCCATTTGGTATTTTCAAAGACTCAAACACCATCACTATGGATACTTTCCTGACACCCAATGTTAATCAGCCCCTCTTCCTCAAGTTGCACCTGGTACTTGTCTTTATTCTTAAACATTTAAACCCTGAATTATGAGCCCCTTCAGGTCTATGACTGAATTTTTATTCATGTACCCTCAGAAGTAAGGATAATGCTTAACACTTATATATTTGATATGCTTATTTGACAGAGAAAAAGAAAGAAACTCCTTGTATCTATATGTAAACCCAGTCTTCTTTTTTTATGTGTTGGAGGGGTGGTATTGAGGATTGAACTCTGGGGCACTCTACCACTGAGCTATATTCCCAGCTCCTCTTATGTTTTTTATTTTATAGTTGTAGATGGACAGCATACCTTTATTTGTTTAGTTCTTTATGCAGTGCTAAGGATTGAACCCAGTGCCTCACACATGCTAGGCAAGCGCTCTGCCACGGGGCTACAGCCCCAGCCTCTCTTTTATTTTTTTATTTTGAGATAGGGGCTTGCTAACTTGCTCAGGCT